ATTTTTGACACAGGTAACCTCGTATTGCCTTAGCAATACTGCTGCTGTCATAAAAAATGAGTTTTAATAAGGCGATTGGTCGTCTCTCTCGCTCGCGTGGGCTTTTTACGGGGCTTTCGAGAAGACTATCGCTCTCTTTCTAACCTATGGCAAAATACTCTATAATGAAATATAATTACGATTGTATATATAGCAATTAGTATAGAGAGTTAAAGCCAGGCTTTAGGAATGCGGAGGCGCGCGGGCAATACGTTTGCAAGTTCATTTCACATTTCAGTGTTTATTTACTCTGTGTGTTTAGCTTAAGCGATTTAATATTGCGAGTTGAAACTTTATGCTTTTTTAACATCGAACTATATTACTAACTACTTATAGAAGAGACATATTTACAGTAAGTAAGTACAGAAAATATTTTGCATTATGATTAGTACATAGTTGGTCAATAATGGTTTTAGTTGTTTCAGTTTCCCTAGTGCAAAACTTTAGGTCCATCTTATTTATAATTTTGTAACGATTTTCTTGCAAAGTTTCTTTATAAGCAAGGGTTCCACGATCATTGGAAAGTAGATTGAAATTAAAATCACTAATAATAATTGCTCTTTTACGTTTATATGTTTGAGCAGAATATTTATCCAAAAACTGTTTCATATCCGAATCTGGTTTTCTATATACGGTTCCAATTTCCATAGAATATTTTTCGAGATGAATTCAAAGGAAATGGTTACCATCTAAATAAGTGTCACTCACGTGGGAGTGCTTCAAATCATTGTGAATAAAAATCGATACACCACCACCTTTTCCTGTGTTTCTGAAATTATAGTAGTGGCTGTAGTTTGGGATCACAAAACGTTTTGCTTCCTCTTCAGATTCTATCCAAGTTTCTGTTAAAATAATGATGTTGACAGTATTTTCAAACATTTTTAGTATGCAATGTAACTCATCGAACTTCCCTGGTGCGATAATGCTGCGTATGTTAGTATGGTATATTTTTAATGTTTTCTTATATGAGATAATGTGTTTGTAGTCGCCAACTAGTTGGTAAGTGTTCACTTTGTTATCCTCTTCTTTATGATTACTATCATTTTCTATTGTTTTGAGATTTTTGTGAAACTTTTTACTATTTTTGGCACACTTTTTGAATATTTTATTGAAATATTTTCCTCTCCCTTTGTTATTCTATCATTTAACTCTTGAGTAAGCTCTAATAATTCTAATAATTTTTGTTATGGTGTATGGTCTGATTATATCCTTATTTTATCATCATTTAACTTTTTCTTGTTCTTCAATATGGATTTAGCGATATCTTGAGATTTAAAGAAAATTTTGATTGGACGATGTTTACCAGATATATACTTACCAAGTCGCACAATTTTCTTCGGTAAGGGACATGTTCCATCAACTATTTTTAATATTTTCATTACTTCTTCTCTGTCAAATTCAATTCTATGTTCTTTGTCCAGTGCTGTACTTTCAGAGATTACAATTATAACGATATTTTTACTTCTATATTCACGCTCATTTATTTCGGCCATGATTTTTTCGGTTTCGTAAGATAGGAAAAATGTTCCTGTATTTGTTTTAAGGTTCTTAATTTCGGATTCAAGATGGCAGATCTTCTGTTCACTAGTTTTGTTTTTCTCTAATAAGTTTGAAATATCACATTTTATTATTTTATTTTCTTTGTTTACATGGTTTATTGTCGATTTCATCTCAGTAATTTGTTCTTTTAAGTCTGCTTTTCGGTGAAGCTACTGAAGCATAAGTGTTTTTATTGCTCGGTTATACCGACACAACGTCGAAAGTACCCATAGCCAACTTTTTGATTAAATTTGAATTAAAACTGGCCATAATTATTTTTACTAATAAAATCATAATTTTTATAACACTAAAAATCCTTCACTGCTGGCCGTACGAGGAAGCTCAGTCACTCAGTGAGCCACGGAGACAGCTGTGCTCGGGGTTTTCTGCATGATAAACATAAAAATATGAATACATAGGCTGCACTAAAAGTATCGGGAATGGAATATTTCCACGGTTCCTGTCATATTAATATCTTTTTAATTGAAAACTCTTTGGTTTTAAAAATCGAATACCATTTATTTATTTAAAAAAAGATCCTCGGTCTTGTTACAAGGTTTTGTCAAACTTGTTTAGTCGTTGAGAAAATGGAATTGACTCGAGAAAATTCAAGAGCGATGTTTTATTATGACTTTCGAAGTGGTTTAACACAAAAACAGTGTGTTGACCGGATGATTTCTGCATTTGGTGATGAAGCCCCATCCAAAACCACAATTTATCGCTGGTTTGCTGAATTTCAACGTGGACGTGTCAAGCTCAGTGATGATCCCCGTCAAGGTCGTTCAAAAACTGCAGTCACCCAAGAAAACGTTGATGCTGTGCGTAAGCTGATTGAGGAAGATCGACATGTGACATACCGCGAAATTCAAGCAACTTTAGACATTGGCATGAGTCAAATATAAATAATCTTGCATGAACTTTTTTTACACCTAATTAGGTGTAAAAAAGTTGTTTTCCCGATGGATACCGCATTCGCTCTGTGAAGAGCAAAAAGCGGCTCGCTTTACTTGGTGCGTCGGAACTCTCGAAAGATTCCACGCAGGATCCTCAAATGCTGTATACAACATCGTATCAGGTGACGAATCCTGGATATACGCGTACGAACCCGAAACAAAAAATCTGTCACGAATTTGTGTGTTCGAAAATAAGTTAAAGCCAACAAAAATTGTTCGTTCACGGAGTGTTGCAAAAAAAAATGGTGGACACGTTTGTCTCCAAAACCGGCCATGTTACGACTATTCCTCTTGAGGGATAAAGAACGGTTACTGTAGAATGGTATGCTAGCATTTGTTTGCCACAGGTCGTTTCTGAACTCAGTAAAGAGAACTGCAACCGCCGCATCATCCTCCATCACGACAATGCGAGTTCTCCCACCGCACACAGAACAAAAGAGTTTTTAGAGTAAGAAAACATAGAATTATTAGACCATCCGCCGTACAGCCCCGACCTAAGCCCTAATGATTTCTTTACTTTCCCTAAAATAAAGAATAAATTGCGTGGACAGAGATTTTCATCACCTGAAGAAGTTGTGGACGCCTACAAAACGGCCATTTTGGAGACCCCAACTTCCAAATGGAATGATTGCTTCAATGATTGGTTCCATCATATGGAAAAATGTGTCAAATTTCGCGGAGAATACTTCGAAAAGCAATAAATACATTTTTAAATAGTAATGTTGTGTCACTTTTTGATTCCCGAAATTTTCAGTGCCGTCCTTGTATTCACAGTAGAACCAGAGAGCCTGACGTAGCTTAACGGATTGATAAGCTGAAGTAGCAATGGGCCGGCCATATACTTCAAAGAATCAACAACCGATGGGAGGAAAAAGGTTCTCGAGTGGCAGCCTCGTAGCGTTGGGTGAAGTGCAGGGCTAACCCCCCCCCATTAATGGAGTGACTACCGGTAAGACATGCGGGAAGTTGATGCATGTAGGAGGTTGAGCAGCACCGTGCTTTTTGGCACCCCTTGGGGGAGGCCTGTGTTCAGCAGCGGACTTGTGAAGAGCTGTAAATAATGAATGAAAAAATTCTAAAAATCACTTTTACGAACGTTGAACTTATGCGGACTATGATGATTAGTTTATCGATAAATAATATCGACATAGTCCTCGGTTTACGTTGCTTACGCATGTAGACAGTGGCACCAGTGTATCGAAACGTGTACAATTTGATAGTTTGCGTAAATGCAATGAAAACAAACACAAATTCTGTAGTGTGCGTGTATAGTGACGCGATTCAATTTTATATTTGTAATGAAATATAAAGTAGTGTGTTTTTCTTGCACCCCCCTGACATTGACAGACTTTTTAGTTTACGAATTAACGCACATGGCTTCTCCAGTTGGTTTAATATTCAAAGATATGATATCAAAACATTCTGCATCCAATGCCAAACATGAACTCATGGAGGTTAGAGAACAGGAGAACGATCACAGTAGAAAAGTGTCCCAGAAATATGGACACCATAAGTGAGCCGCTGCGATCGCTAAGTTCATTCAATAAAAGTCATTTTCAGTCTATTTTTTCCGATCAGATGCTTAACCACTTGCATATTCACGCACAATAAAATATTTATCTATTTTTTAATGTTTCTTTTTGTCAAAACTTTAAAATTACGGAGCATGAAATTTTTTTCACCAATGCCGCAAAGAAAATTTGTACATTATTCAACTAGCTTCGTCTGCTTGTACTCATAAACAGCTAACTTCGCAGCCACTACCACCGACGTCAGCGCCGCTATAAATTCTACAAATTTTCAAGGACAGGCGGGCTATGCTTTAGTACGTACTAGCGATCGTTCTCCTGTTCTCTAACCACCATACATGAACCTGTGATTCTAGATAGTCACTTGACGTAATAAAAGTATATGTTAATGTCATTTCATATTCAGTAATCTATGGTCATTTCATTTCCGAACAGATAACTGTCAAACTGTCATCTGTCACCATGAATGAAAGTAAATTTAGCTTTTGTTTATTAAATTTATCTAAAGTACTTTTGTGCTATTTCATTACTTAATATGTGTTTTTAGTCAATTAAATGTGAAAAAAATAGATCAAATGTGAGATGAATATGCTAGTGTGGATTGAAGTGAAGTGAAGTGTGGAGTGAACACAAATGTTTATTTTGTGTCTGTTTTGGATGCTGTCATTTCCAAGACAGCTAGTGCTACGGGTATACGGGGCCCAGCACACTCTAGTTTTAGTCTTGGTCGTGGTATAACGTTGAGGTCGTATTATAAGCGAACGAAACCAAACAATGTTACCGAGTTCGTATCATTGTTGGATAATCGAAAGACGATAGTGATGAAATAAAACTGATGTTACTTTTTATTGAATGACAGTAGGACAATGTATATTCATAAAGTATTTTATTTTAGTGAGTGAAAATATTTTCGTAAAAATGAGACATGAATTCAACCGAAATGCAAAAAAGTGTATCAGTGCAAGTAGATAGTGATTTCGCCCTTTTACTACCCAGTGGTGCCTACGAAATTAAAAAAATGGAACCACGATCGAAACTACGAAAAGTAATACTGTTTTGTTTACTATTGTCGCTGTTTGGAATGGTGGCATTTGGGTACTTCTGTCCTGATCAGGTTAGTACTCTATTTTACAACCAATTAATTTGTTATACATACAAACTGCTTGCTTAATTAATGAAAGATTTCAAATATGTAAAGTAATTGCCATGGTTCCTCCTTTACCACAAATAGACAATGAAAATTATTTCAATGCAGGCTGTATTTTTTTAAATAATTTATTGTTTTTATAATACAACCACACCAATTTTAGTCATTGTTACCATGTGCTAAAAATGTTTCGTAAAGTTTACTAATTGCAGTTATGTTTAAAACAGATAAAGGTTATATTGCTTATTCTTCATATGTTGACAATTCGTCAATTGGATCAAAAGGAAATTGTTGGAGAAGACCTATGTTAAGCAGTAAATTTTTGAAATGCTTATGCTTTTCAAGTAAACAGTCTGTTGTACAGTATTAAGATCCAAAGGATGTTGTAATGATGCTTTTTTTATGACTTTAAGAGAACTAAACGGATTTAAGTGAAAAATAAATATTTATGAGCTTATTAAACGTTGAAGTACATTCACATTTTAAAGCAAATGTTATTAAGACTTTTAGTAAGCTGACAAATGAGCTCTTGTAGATCTACTGGTTGTGAAACATTCATCTAAACATGCCAAATACAAATGACATACACTACCTGTCTATGGGAAAAAAACATTTTTAAGGGGTTTTTTCAAAAGAAATGTGTCCCTGCTGGCTTATACTTGAGGATGCTATTCTCGTAGTATGTAGCAGTAGTTATAGGAATAAAGAAAGGATAATAATGATAATTTTTTATTCATGCTTTACTATTTACGGCTACATCACACTTACTATCAGGTGTGACAGCTGTAATCTCTGGCTAAATAGGTGACAAAAAAATTTGTCTCAATTTTTCTCAATACTATATTAAATTTCTCATGTTTTCTTAAGAAAATAGTTTCAGAATTGATTTTGAATTATGAATTTTACATAACATATATTAATCTAAACTTTTACCTAGGAAACTATATAATTTATTTTAAATTAAATTTTAAGTGGGTTTATTAAGAAACTATTTATGTAATAAGCACCTACCTTATAATTTTACTGCCTTAAGAACATAAATGTTCAACTGGGTACAAGTATTATCCTTTAAGATAAGACTTTTTTATAGTATAATGGTGGCAAACATGCACACAGTCCACCTGATGGTAAGTGGTTTCTGTGTCCCATAAACATCTAATCTATCCTCAATAATGAATTAAAATGCTGATGCATTGTCACCCGTGAGGACCAAAATGGAATGTCTCGATTCCAGTAAAACGGGTCTCCTGTTCTCTACATTAACAAAATTAAACACAGTAGTGTTAAGCTACTATTTGCCGCTGGTATTCTGTGAGAGTGTGGTCCTTCCCCAGTTGAGCTGACCCATTCGTGCTACAACTATACAGTGATATAGCTATATATATACAACTATATCAGTATTAGCTGCAGCACAGCTCTACCACGTAGAAAAAAACTGAATGGCTACTTATAAAGCTATGTGAGATTTATTCAGTACTACTTTAAAAAAACAACATGAAATGCTTTTGTTATTATTGTACCAAAATAAAGAAATGAATATATGTTTTACTCAACGTATAACAGTTTCATGTATAACTCATGTTTCCTTGTATGAAGTTTAATATGACATCCATAAGATGACAAGCAGTGTTAAACTTTTTTATGCCATTTCATAGAGTAAAATATTAAAGAACTTTATTGGTAGTATTGCTGCAGGAGATCAAACCCAGGTTGCTCACATACTGTTATTTGTGAAATTCACTATGAGCTCCCAGGATAGTGAGCACTATGTTATGTTATGTGCAGATAATTATTTTAAAAGATAGGTAACTGCATACAGTATTCTGAAGGAGTCACCATCATTGATTCTTCTTCTTCTTTTTTCATTGGCCTGTAAGATCCACTACTGGCCCTTGGCTCCTCCCATTAAAGGGGGATTTGTGTTTATTGTAAGTGCTTGGAATGAATAGTAGTAGCAAATGTCCTGCACTTTTGACATTGCTTCTCCTCATTGCCGGTCTAAGTATTTTATGCCCGGTATAAACAACAAAGTTGTACAGTTATCTTTCGGATGCCATAAGATTTTTCAGACATTTTCCATAGTCGCCTTTTAAAACACCTATGTGATGAATTGGGGTGATGAATTCTCTAATGCCACCACACATGTTACAATCGATTAAAGGAATATAATTTTAGGGGAAGTAATGGTACATAAAGTTGCCAATACAATACCAATTATTGTAGTAATTGTAGATACCACTATTGATATTGATGGCTTAATATTAGTAGATGCAAAGTTTTTTTTTTAAATTATTTGCCAATAATCTGTTACACCAATCATTTTGTATGAAGCCTACAATTTAAAAAGGACATTCTGAGGTAACTGAACTAAATTTATGTTGGTTGTATATAATTGACGACGCCGACATATCGGCTTGCCGATTAAATCGCCGATATATCAGAATCGGAACCATTATCCCTAGTAGTTTTTATCAAGTGTGTTATTTATATTTGATTGGTTAATTTCAATTTAGTAGAGAGTATGAATAAAGCCGTGATAGTTAAGCACTCACTGTAAATTTGACAATACGCGCGCGACCCGGTTTCGATCCCCACCGGTAGATTTAAATTGTTAATTGCAATTTAGAGTGATGATTTACAACGATTACTGAAAAAAAAAATGTAGTGGCGGTGCAAGAATATCCTCTATCCCATATCGTCCCGTGGCTGTGGAGGCAACAGAGGGAAAATGGAACAGGAGATGGACAGCAGCATCTTCCTGATAACAACTCATAATAATAAAAAACTGCATTGCCAATTCGCTTGCCAGGTGTTGCATCTATGGCAAATTCTCCCCCCTGAGGCAATCTATAAGGGAGGCCTATGTTCAGCAGTGGACTTTTATAGGCTGTAATTGATGTATGGAATGGATTTCAAATAAGTACATGTAAAGTTTCCCGCCATGCATTAGGGCAGCGCGGCAGACATTTCCTTGGCCTAAAACTAACAGGAGGCCTTTGCCCAGCAGTAGTACGATAAAGGCTCTAACCATAGAATACTATAATACATACATAATAGAACGGGGGAGTGGGCGGAGCCCGTGTAGCCACTAACATGTCAATTCACACCTATAAATGTCAACACAATCAATAGTTTCTGATTTTCGTGTCAAGCGTCACTGCATGCAAATTATTGAAAAAAAAAAAATGGCAGATTGTGCAATAATTACGTGTCGAAGGAACAGCGGGAATTGAAATTTAAATAAAGGAGACATATCCTACAACCAGTAAGTCGAAAATATTTATATTTTGTAAATATTACAAACAAAATTAAAGAAATATTGATGTGTCAAAGACATTAATCAAAAGTCTAAAATGTGTTATTTCACTCAGTTTGTCGACACAGTGAATTGGGTTTGTAGTAGTGATAATACGACGTAATTGCTTGTATGTGTGCTCCTGGTGACACCGATCCTCGTACAAAATAAGGTTTACAGCCGTTCTATTGTGTATTATAGTATTCTATGGCTCTAACTATGGTACATACTATACTATAATTTCAAGTTTGCACTCAAAACTACACACTTTTACTACACTTACACTATAAATGCAATCAAACATGTAAAATAGAAAACAAAACATTTTTTTAAATTCGAAAAAATCAAACAGCTTTTGATAAATATTACTCTCTGAATTAATCAGTGCTCCTATTTAACCGAGCTTCTCGCAGTCGCGGCTTGTCGACTCCACTAATTAAAGAGGGTGGCAGCCATGCAAGTGGCTTTCATTTGTTTTTGCGTTCTCAACCAGCCAGCAAAAAAGTAGTAGCTCGCAGCCCTTCCATCTAGCTTACGTTGTGACCCGCGCCAAGCGGAAAACAGTACATACTCGTAACTATCGGCTAAGCGCGTGTTATCTCGTTTTAAAAATTACTCATACTTTCTGTGAAAACTGTATGTACATGTACATTTACTTTATGAATTTGTTTTTTACTAAAACGTTTCTTTTTTTTTATAAGCCTTAATCTTGTTTAAAAATAGTATCTACTGTACTTGATGCTAAAGAAATATTACACTGGCTGAAGTATTAACAGTCAAAATATTTTTTTTTATCGGTCCATAAGTATTCCATGTACGTGCCGTGTAGTGGCGGTTAAGAATATCCACTACCCCATATCTATCCGTGGGTGTCGTAAGAGGCGACAGAGGGATACAGACAGGAGATGGGCAGCAGCATCTTCCTGATAACAGCAACTGTACAACAAAAAAAACTGCGGTTGCCAACCCGCTCGCCAAGCGTGGCAACTATGGCAATATACCCCCCATGAACAATTACACAAATAGACGGCCCCCAGTCCCCGGCGGCCCCGCTATTCCTGGCTACGATGGCGACCATGGTAACGGCGGGGCAGGGGGTGCTAAGAATCTCCGGTGGAGGTTCGGTTGCCACCTACGACGACTCGACCTGGCAACATTTAACGCACGCACCCTGAGGACTGACGAGAAGATCCTGGAGCTGGAAGAAGAGATAGACAAGTTGCGCTGGAATATTATAGGATTATCCGAGGTCCGAAGAGAGGGGGAGGACACGGTGATTCTCGAATCCGGCAACTTGTTATATCACCGGGAGGGCGACCATCTGTCCCAAGGAGGTGTCGGATTTATCGTCCACAAGTCTCTTGTCAACAACGTTGTAAAGATTGGGAGTGTGTCGACGAGGGTCGCGTACCTGATACTCAGAATCACCAAACGGTATTCGCTGAAGGTCATAAAGGTTTACGCACCAACCTCGGCACATCCCGATGAGGAGGTGGAGGAAATGTATGAGGATATTTCCAAAGCCATGTATTCCTCCAAAATCCACTACACGGTGTTGATGGGAGACTTCAACGCAAAACGAGGCACAAGAGAAAACGGTGAGCTGAAGTTAGGGAAATTTGGAGTAGGGCAACGGAACCGAAGGGGCCAGCAGCTGGCCGACTTTATGGAG